TGGGGAGCCGGGGGTGCCCTCCGCGCGGCCCGGCGCGGCCAGGATCCCGCCCCACCCCCCCCCCCCGGCACTCAGCGTCCCGCCCCGACACGCGCGCACACACGCGCCCCCCCCCAATCTTTTAATCGCAACTTCAGGCCCTGCGCGGGGGTGCGGGATGCAGGGAGCGGGAGCCCGGCTGTGCACCCAGGGATGCCTGGAAAGCCCGCTTCCCCTTCCTCCCTCCCCGCGCCAGGAGGCAACGGCCCAGCCCGGGCAGGCAGCGGGTGCTACCCGGAGCCCAGCGCCCGGCGCAGGCGGGCGGACCGCAACACCCCGCAGAGGGGGTGGGTGTTGCAAAGCAGTCTCCGCCGCGCCGGGCTCCGGCCCGGACAACAAAGATGAAGCAAAAAGTTGCTGCCCGGCGCGGAGAGGAGGAGCCGCCCGGCCCGGCTGGAGACACAACTTTGCCTTGGTGTGTGCGGTGGGGGGGAGTTGTTAGCAGCGGACTCAAAGTATCTTCATCGAAATAATACAATGGCGCGGGCTGAGGAACTGATTGCTCCTAACAAGCGGCCGCTTTCTGGGGAGAGTTGTTTATAAATCAGCGGCCGTCGCCCAGGGCCCTGGGAAAAGGCGGTTTGGCTGGAAATAACCCTCTGTGGGGGAGGGCTGCCACACACACACACACACACACACACACACACACCCCTTCAACCTCATACACACCCCTCTACACAAACACCCGCACGCCCCCGCTTTCACACACACGCACGCACGTTTCCCCTCTACACAAACACCCGCCTTCCCCAGTCACACACGGGATCCAGCCCTGGGAGACGGCGCCGGGCAGCAGCACTTGCCCGCCCGGCTTAGGGGATCTGAGCCGGGAGAGGGGCAGCGGGGCAGGAGGGAGCGGGAGAAGCCGCCGAAGCGAGGACGCTGCTGGCAAACGTCCCTGCCCCGCCGGGGCCCGGGCTGCAGGCGGCCGGGAGGAGGCAGCGGGCGCCTCTGACCCGGGCTCTGCCTTTTGTTCCTCGGGTAGAAATCGCGTTTCGGATCGGGGGCAGCTCCCCCTCCTGCCTCTGAAACCCTCCTGTCATTTGCCCCCCGGAGCCGCACGGACAGGACAGCGCCAGCCAAGCCGGCCGCAAACTTCCCCGGAGGCAGCCGTGGGCCCCGCTCCGCCCGCCCGCGCTTGGAGACCGGCCCTGGCCTCGGGCGCCTCACATGAAAGCGCTTCGGGGCACTGGGCGGCATCTCTGCCGGGCTAGATCTGAAGTGTGTACGTGTGCGCGTGTGTGTCTCGGGGTGCTTACACGTGTTCAACGTGGAGAGCGGCAGGGCAAGGAGAAATCTCCCTGGCAGGGAGTAGCCCGAGTGATATCTCCCGGCTGTGAAACTTACCTCCATGGGAGCAAACACACAAGCCGCTAAGTAGAGATCGGGCACCGGCGGGGGGGGTTTCTGCTTGGCACCGGCGGTGGGATTTGCTGCTTGTGAGGAAGTCTGAAATCAGCCTGATGGAGCTTCAGGCTACACACACGCACACACAGAGCTGAAGAGGGTGGGTATACAATCATTGTTCTGCCTGTTTAATACCCCTAATAAATCACTGGTAGATATCAAAGGCTACTGTTAATCACACGATTACAAAAGTAGGAACACGGTGTAAAGCTAAAAAAAAAGAAAGAAAAAAAAAAGGGTGAGAAAAAAAATCCAAGCCCCCTTTTCCCCTCCTGGATCCCCTCCCCCAATTAAACTAACGTCTATACATTCACAGCTGGAGAGAGCCAGGAGTGGCCATGGTGAATTCAGAGGCGCTGCAGGCTCCTCCTCCTCCTCCCCATCATCATTATTGTTACCCTTGTCATTAATACTGTTTCTTAAGCATCCTTCACTCCCGGCTCCCCCTGTGGAGGAGCCCGCTGCCGGAATGCTCCTGAGACGGGAGAGCTCTTGATGTCTGTCTGCTCCTCTCTGGGTCCTGTAACCGGTCCTCATTTCAGTTTGAGCCCCCCAAATTGGGGCTGATTTAGGTCCAGGGCGCTCGGGATGTGAAAGAGACAGTCATGTGTCCCCTTTCTTCCGGAGCTGACCCTGCCGGATTAGAGGTCCCAGGAGCCTTTCTTCCCTTTCTCTGCCCGTATAAAAGCAGGTTGAAGGTGATGCGGTGTCTTGGGCAGACACTGCAGTGTTTTGATTCAGCTCAGCCCTTTTCACTGTTCAAAGCAGCTGTTCAAATACTAGGGCTGCTTATTTTGACGTGAGGAAGATTTTCAAACAACCCCAAAAGCTTTGAACTGACAGGCCTCCTTGATATCTCCTTCATTCCAGTACAGCTCTCCGAGAATATTCTCTAGCAAATACATAGCACATCTCTTAAATGGAGCTTTCTCCTCCCTGGGAGGCGAGGTGCTGCATACACATAAGGTGGCTTCAGCGGGGAGGGGGCCGGGTGCCTGCTACTCACACTGCTGGGACGCTTACAGGCAAGACAAACTAGTGCATTTCCTGGGGATCCAGTGAGTGGACTCCAGCCCTTTCTTGTTAAAAAGCCTGAAGCAGCTTGTTACTTGCACAACCTCCCCCCACCAACCTCCTCCGCCCCCAAAACCCCCCTAATTTGTAAACCCTTAGCAAATCCAAGCCTTGCAGAGAGAAAGCCGCAACTACACACTCCCAAGTACGAACACGGAGCTCTTATTCCCAACGACTCCTCATAAACCTCCTTAGTGCTTAGGGTTTAAAGATTGCTTTTAAAATGAAGAAAGGTCCTTCTGTTTAGAGGTGAAAAGCCTGTTTGAAACTCTGCACTCTGGCGTGAAACGAACTCACCCAACTAAGGGGGGGAAATCCCCTTTTCCAGCAGCTCCCGTTTTTGTGCACTTCGGGGGGGGGGGGAGCATCAAGAAGGGCAAAGGCACCAGGGAATTTAGCACGAGTATGCTCCGGTGCAGTAAAAACAGCTGTATGCCATGGAGCTCCCTTGAAAGGCCAGCCTGGAAAACGTGGGCACATCGCTGGGATGCATTTAATGTACCTATTGTGAGATGGGACTGTTTTGAGCTCTCTTTCCTTTTTAACCTTTCTGTCTGAACTATTCAGCCCTGCGTTTTCGGGAGCTCTTTGCAAGGCTTGCTCCGAGGAGCCTGATTTAGTGGAGAGACCCAAGACATGAATGGAACTTCAACTCGAAGGGCCTGCCGAGGAGCAGAGCTGAGGCCGAGGCTTCACAAGTGATTGCTTTAAAAAATCCAATCTACACAAAGAGGCAGCTGGCTGCTTTAATGAAAACTGCCTTAAAGCTGCAAGAACTGCAGCCTCAGGGATGTATTTATAAGATGACTCAAAAAGCTCCACTTTCAAGTCGCTTCTCCTCGGGGTAGCTATAACACACACATTTAACTAAGAAATCTAAACAAAATGGACAGAAATTGATCACTTTGATTGCATAGGATCGCATTACCCACTGAAATTAAAACCCCTCGTGTAAATGGGTTTCTCCACGTACAGACAAAAGAATATATATTTGACCTGCTAGAATATCGATTCCCTTGGAAGATAGACAGGTACAGAATATATATATATAAAAAAAGTTTTTGAAAAGTTTGTATCAATGTTCATTTCCAACAGTCCCTGAAACTATTCTTCGGGCCACTTTTTATTCATAGGGGACTATTCTATTTTATCTGCATCACTGTTTAAACTACTGGGATATAATGCTCTAAATTCAGTATTTGAAATTAAATTATTTGAATTCACGGATATTAATCTCTTCCCTTCATCCTCCAGTTCTGAATCTTGTCATTAAAAATGATCCACCCTTTGTAGTCCGCAAGTGAATATTTTATAGACAGATACCGCTATGAAGACTTCTAACACAACGTCAACCAGTCAGACTTAGCTGTTGCAGGGATTACTTTGAGTAATTTATCAAAGGAAGGCTGCTAAATTTTGAGTGGTGAATATAAGGCCTGGGGGGGAGGGGGAGCGGAAAAAAAAGAGACAAATTCCGTCAGTCTGTGAGATAAATTCAACTCGGAGTTAATACAGCGTGTTTATATTGAAATCTCCTCGACAGAACAAGATGCAGTTGGTGGGGGAGAGTTTGCTTTCACGCAATTTAGTTTTCAAAAGGCTTGCTGCTAAATGACCTCTCGACAATGGAGCTTAAAGGGGGGCTCTTTGGGCTTTCAAGCAGGTGAATTGGTGGTAGACAGGAGGGGATCCAACCTCTTTGATACATTCAAGAGATTTCATCTGGGACCTTTGAAACACTAAACTGTCGAGTGATGTATAGGACCCACAAATGTCTTTAAAAAAAAGTCCCCAGCCCTAAAAGCTGCCCCTCGGACACATAACATAATTGCTCTTGTCGTGTTCCCAGATCAGCTCCGATGAAGGGACATCGCCGCTGTCCAAGCCTAACTGGGCTTTGCCCGGGGAGATGCTTTCTTTCCCCCACGTTACGTTTTCTAGGCGGATAAAAGAGGGACACAAATCCAGCTGCTACTCAAGAAGAGCAGTGATCTCTGTGGCTCCTGCTATAGGCACTGGCACAGGGCGGGAGGCAGAAGCAGTGCCGGATTACCCTACAATAAGAGAGGCGAGCCTTGAAAACTTGAGCGTGCCCCGCACTCCAGGGGACTGGACACGATGCCTCTGGCACAACGCGGGAGCCGCGGGCAGGAGTCGGGGAGGAGCAGGCAGGCTCGGCACCTTGCTCTGCATGTGCAAGCCCGGTGCCCACCGGGAAAGTCTGACAGCCCCCGGGAGCTGACTCAGTGGAAACTGGGGACCCGATCCTGCCTCTGCGGCC